AATTTTGCTACACTTGATTTACCAACAAAATTGCATCAGTATGCACTTGTTTCTAAGCCTAAGTACCATTTCACACGGGCACTTCACTGCCAAGGAACAATGTTCAATGAAATTTCTCAAGCAGTCTCACACAATGAAGTCCTTACTGCCTTAGGACAGGGATAATACACCAACCTTTCCATAATTTTGAACACACAGTTTGCAAGCTTGGTACCTCCTTTTCTTCTTCCCTCATTTTAATTTGCTTCTCTAATCACCCAGCAATGTTTTCCCCAAATCTCCATTTTACACAACAAAAGAACTGAATAAAATTGATCTGATCTGCTTTGGTTTTGACTTTGTTCTTTTTATGAACTGGAAAAAAATGTTTAGGAAGTTCAAAATGCTTAAAGCCAAAGGATCAGTTCATCTGGGGAGAACAGTTCTGCTCATGGAGGCTGCTGGAATCTCTGTGTTGAAGCAGCTGCCCTGCTCACCTCTGCAGCTTCACCTACACCCTATGCAGTGACTCAGAGCACAGGGAACTGCTCCTATTTTGTACCTGAGAGCACACTAGGCCAGAAGTTATATTTTAACTAGCTATTTCTGCTTCCGTTTCTCCCCATGTTTCACTTATTGTGAAGATGAGCTGATCCTGTTCCTGCTCTCTCCTGTTGCTGTAGGGTCATCCTAGAAATAATAAACCAATTATGCTTATTTTAACAAATATAAAGCCCTGTTTAACATGTCACAGCAATACACTTTGATCATAGTCAGTTTTACCACTAGGTGCTTGTCTTTCATGGCCATTTATCACAGAGGTTTCTTAATGAATAACTGGGTCCCTTAATCAATTGTGGGCATTGCAAAAGTGCCAGCTGAGGCAGCTCAGCCTCTGGCACTTTGATAGCAGGGGAAGGGTAAAATAATGCCCTTTCTCTGCCTCCTTCACAGACACAGCAAAGAGCAGGCACAGAGGCAGGTACCAAGCTAGCTGGGCTAACAGATTTTTCTCCAATGTATGCTACAGACAGAAGGAGACACCCAGACCATCTCTAGCTACAGTTCCTTCTCAGGAGTGGCCTGCAAGCTGAAAGCAGAGCTAAGGCCATGACAGGAGCTGCCAAGGGCTTGGGCAGCAGTTACACTGGGTGCTGCACCTACACCTGCTGCAGCTTTGCATTTATTTCTAAGGTCCTAAAACACCAGCAGCTGCATCCTCTGCTCAGTGTCCCTGGTGTGGGACAAAATGTCTCCTAGACAATAGTGGCAAAACAGGCTAGAACAGAGCCAGGCAACCATTTCAAAGTGAGCTCACTGAAGTATTAGACATTTCCAGAAGAGATGAGATGAGATGGCAGTGAGGGTGACTTCTCCCTGCAGAATGAAACATGTTCCTTCAGGAAAACAGCCGCCGCCCTCCCACACAAGGATGGGTGACTCAGGCTGAAGCACTGCCATCCCTGGACAAATAAACTCTCTGTTTCAGGTATCAATCCATCTGGATAAGGAATTTCTCCCATCTGTTCTCCTGCATGCCTTGACTCCCAGTCAGGTGGCAGTTAAGGAGAGTGGAGGAAGCCTTCCAGAGCTCACTGAGGACTGGTAAGATTTCAGGAGAACCTGTGGTGAAATCCTGCCTTTCCTGAAGGTCATGTCAGGGCTCCTGGGAGCTCACTGGGGACAGAATTTCACTCCTCATCTTTCTGGTGCTTATGTGAGAGAATCTAAGCATAGACTGGCATTTCTCTTGTAAGAGTTTCTTCCTGTTTAGAAAGCCAGTGACTCACATGATGGCTGTAAAATCCTCTGTGCTGCTGTGGTCTAAGAACCCTTGGCAAATCCACAACACAGCCATCACAGAGATGTAAATCCTGAGCTGCTGTGAATGCAAATCCCATGATACTAGTACCAGTGGATATGCAAAACCTGCTGCAGCTATGGCTGCATAAACCCCCTGGCAGTGCTGTCTGCAGAGGGATTGGTTTCTACAAGTCTTGATAGTCACTTCCTTTGCATCAGCTCTGATAGCTACAAATAGAGAACCTCCAAATGTAAACATGGACTTAACAACCAAGGCCAAGTAACATGTCACTGGTAGGCAACACTTTGCATTCTGCAGGAAACTCTGACCTCTCCAGAAATAAGCTCTAATTCACAAAGAAACATAAGAGTATTCTAGCAGGGGGGGAGAAAACCAACCCAGAACCCCAAAATCAAAAAATACCAGCCCCAAAACCCAGAAACGTTTATGAATTTTAATTTAATTTCTTTTGCAAAATAAAAATGAGACTAGCCCCAAAACCCAGAAACGTTTATGAATTTAATTTCTTTTGCAAAATAAAAATGAGATACTGTTCTGAGCTTCCTGCATCCAGGTGTCCGTCTGTGAAGAAATATGAATGATGAAACAGGCTGCAGAACAAAGGTGTGCCAAGGCTGGCATCTAGAACAGTCTGTTCTAGAGTGAAAGTTCACTGAAAAAGAAGAGGTTTCCCCATTTCCATGGACTGGCATTTAAAAAATAAAAATTAAACAAATAAAACTGATTATTCTTTTTTTTTTTTTTACCATCTCTGGTTGTACTACTCTATGTCTGCTTATGAAGAAAAACCAAAAGGCTGAGCTCTTACATGCTGACCACAATGTCAGTTATCATTATTTTCATCTGTGGGGAAAAAGGAGGTAAGTGACTGTATGAAATCCAGGAATCACACTGGTTGTATTCACAGAAGGCAGTTTTCTATGAACTGTAACATTATCAGACTAGAAATGTAGAGAGAGACGAAGTCAGAGCAGTAGAGAGAGATATAACATATTCTTTTATTAATTATAATAGTGGGAATGTCAATTAGCTTCATTTAGAGTAGATGCCCAAGACATGTCAACATTTTACTTCCTTAATTCCTGACGCTGAAACCCTGAAACCAATTTTCAGGCTGCATGTGCTATTTATGCAAATAGGAGAGACAGCCACTCACACAGAAGTCATTCTTCTACAAACACAGATCTAGAATAAAGTGATTGAGTAGTGAATGAGTAATTTCAACATCATTCACAATCACCTCTGGGTCATCTATAAACACAGATGTTCACCTCTATATTTTTCTGAATAGAACAATGAAAATCAAAGCATTATTGTTCACCCAATGCACTCACATCCTAACATTAGTATATTGTAAGATGCTATGGGATCCCCTTCCAATATTCATTAAATATTATACTCAAGTAAGCAGCCTAGAATACCTCCCAGACATAAACAACATAATAAAATATAAACCAGTTTCTACTTTAAAGGGAAAAAGAAGCTGATGGGAAAGCCCCAGTAAAAATCCCAGGAGAAGGAGTTTCTACAATGTGCCAGGACAATATTGTTGTTGGTTTGGTCAAAATAAATCATCCTTTAGGAGGTAAAAAATGTTATCTTTTTATCAAGTTTGGAAGATACAGAAGAAATTATCTGAAGAGGTATTTGATACTAACACCTGTCCTAAGGAACTGCTGTCACCAAGCTAGACCAGTTTGAACGCAGTTTGCATTCCACATATGTAATTAAGATAGAGTCTAAAGAGGATTTATATACTTGTGAAGGGCAAAATATTGCCTTAAACTGGACTAACTAGTATTTAATTTTGTGTGACATGTTCTGGCATTTGTCCTGCTTCTCAGGTTTTATGGAAAACAACTACCCTCTCTGGCACTGAACTCCATAAGGTTCATTTTGTTTGAAAGTTTGCCAGCCAGGCTGCAGTCACACCACTCCTTTTGTAAAACAGAGACCAAGACACTAGCTCTGGTCTTGTGACCAGCCACACTTTCAATTCTCTCACCTTTCTAGTGCTGTACCTGGCACCTGAGCTTTTAGCTCCTCTGTGACCATCTCCATTCCTCTCAGGTAGGGGCTTGGTTTTGTAGCAATACCATAGTGAGGGTTATGTCTCTTCAGATATTGTCCAAGAAAATTAATGGGGTTAAATGTGGTTGATTCTTCATCTTGTGCAAGCACGTTCTTTCTTTCCACTTCCATTAAGAGGTTTTCCATTCCTGGAATTAGTGTAGGTAGGAGTTTCTCAAGCAAATAGATGCGAGAATCCAGTGACACTTTCACTTCACTGAACCAGTCTCTGGTCAGCAAGTCACAGGGTTCCCTCTTCTTCACCTTTTCTTCTTTTGCCTTTTGTGCAAGAATCATCTTCACCTTTGTCTCCTGCAGACTCAAACATCTCTGCTGTACCTTTGCATAAAAACACTGTTTCCATTGAGCACCATCACTGAGACATGGCAGCTCATTATTCCCAACATTTCTCTTGAGTTCTGTGTCACTGCTCTCTTCAAGTCTGACTTCTTTTAGACGCCCAGGTTGAGCTCCTTCTTCTGGCTGAGCAGCCATACCTCTGTCACTGTGACACAGAACAAAAGCAGCATGTTACATAGTACCAAAAGATGCAGCAGAATCCTTGCAGATGACATGGGAAGAAAGTCTAACTATAGTTAGAAATTAATTCACATGATTTTTCTATGGTATTTGTTTTATTCTGTTCCTGCTGCTCTGTACTCTCCAGTAAATACAACTCTTTTACTTCAAAGACTGGTAAATTATTTATAAAGATTAATTATGTATCACAACAGCCCCTGGAGACAGAGCAACTAAACAAGTGTCCTCCTTTCTTATGGGAGAAGAAACTGAGACAGAGAAGAGAAGTGATTAATTTCAGGTCACTTAGAGATTCAGAAGCCAAGCTGTGAACACTGCTCAGAAGCTCTGTCCCCCAGTTCCGACCAGTGGATTCCTCTTACCCCTGGTATTGCTATTTTTGTTTAGGTCCCATTCCATGCCTTCAGAAAATCCAGTGGGTAAGAGACAAAGAAATCAAGTAATGGGAAATACCAGATGCCTAGGTGCAAGGTTTCTCTACATGCCACCTTCTGCTTTGTCTTTTCTGTAGCTGTGAAAACCAGTGAGGAAGCTTGTCCCATGGACTACTTCACTTTAACTTTGGCAACTATTTCTTCCTCTGGACATTTTGTTAAGGGAAGGAGAACACAGGTGCATGGGTCAGCTGAGCTTCTACAGAAAGGGAAACTCTATACCATGAACTCTGTAATTAAGCTGTTCACAAGCACTTAATCTTGTAGATTATTCTGTAAAAGACAGACCTACAGAGAGTTGCAGACATCTCCCTTTACAGTTTCCCCAACTCCAGTGTTTTCTTCTCAAAATGTTCATACTGCGAAATATCAGGAAAAACCCAGTTGCTCACAAGGCACAATTTGGAAACTGTTGCTGTGTCTCCACACGTGTCTGCATCTGCCATGGGATTTACACATACAGGATGCAGCAGAACCTTGCCTAAATACTTGGTTTGAAGCATGTAAAATCAGGTAAAATCATCCCCATGTTGTAAAAAACCCAGCTCAGAGTTAAACAACAGGAAGGGAAGGGTGATGCTGACAGACAGAGCCTAATGCCCTTCCAAATTCAAGATGAAACTCCATTCTGAACCTGCTGCCACATTATCCTTCTCAAGCTCTTCTTTAAAAGTGCTTCTCACAAAGGCCTTGCAGTACCCCTAGCCAGACCGTTGCTTTGGATATGTTCTTAAGCATTTGTAGCTGTTCTGAAGAGAGTTCAGCCTTTCAGGAAATGCTTAAATGTGATCTGCAGCCCTCCTGGCACACAGATGGAATTACTAATATGTTGACCTTCTGGTTTATAACCATTGTTTGAGTCCAAACACTGCTTGGATAGGCAGGATGCTTCACAGCCTGAATTTCTGTCTGTTTTCTCAATGGACTTGTTGCCATCTTCTGGTAATTTGTTTTCAAAGATGATAACCTGCTGGGGAGTGAGATGGATTTATGGATCCAGCTGCCTGCCTGAGCCACATTGAGGGCTGTAAGATGGGAGCTGGTTTTGCCACAGAAGGACATGAGCTGTAAAGGAGTCCAGATTTATAATGGCAGAAAGGGGAACTTGTCAACCCTGTCAAAACTGTTCTTTGCTTAGGTGAGCTTCTTTCAATAAGATGAAAAACCAGATTCTTTCTGGTTCAAAGCAGGGTGTTAACCAAACATTCTGGTCACATTCCAAATCAGCTGGTTTTGTTGTGCCAAAATAAACTGTTATTGCCGTTTCAAATACTTATATTATTTTTTAACATCTTTTATGAAACCACTCTGCAGTTCCTGTGCAATCTCACAGTGACAATTGCACTCTGCTTTAAGAGGTGGCTGATCCTGAATGATGATGAATCTATTTTTCTACACTGCTCTCAACTATTTGTTAGGAGGATTTTGAGGATTAGTAAATGTTTATAAAGTATCTCTATGTCTCTGAGCAAAATAAAACACAATAAAAAACAACAAAGTGTGACTGTTCCATCCCAAGAATGGAAGAGCACAGGGAAGTATGTCCACTGCTTTAGTGTGGGACAGATAAAAAAGAATAAGAGGGTACAGAAGAACATACACATAGAACATAACTGTTAAAATAAACAACAAAGGAATGCTAGAATCAGGACCTGAAATGTGGAATTTGTCAAGGATTTCAGGGACACACCTCTAGTTTGTACAAGACACAATTGGCTGATTAACTTCAGTGCTGATTTATATTAGGTGAGAATTTTGCCCATAATATATAGAGCTCTGGTGGCCCGTGGCTTTGCCAAAGGAAGGCTTCATTGTCCAAAGAAGAGCAAGCATGGTGCACAGAGACAAACTTTAGAAACACTCAGGCAATTTGAAATGTGATATGAAGTTTCCTGTAAGCCTTTGTTCAAGCTGAAGGCAAGATAAGTCTTTCATTATTTAGTAGGATGCCACTTTCCTGGCTCCTTTCTGTGAGATAAATATTCTTGCTGGAATCCCTGCAGGTACAAAAAAGATTATCTCCTGCAAACCCCATGTCTGCTCATAAATAAGATTGTTACGGTTTCATTGTTACTCTGTTAGGGAATTCTGAGGGTGGGACAGGGTCAGGAAAGCCTAAAGTTTGTCTAGGTAAATATTTGGGAGATGTTTGAGTTACAAAAGTCTTTTCAAAACAGAGTTCAATCTCTCTGATGCTCTATGGCTCAGAAATAGTTTTGCCTTTCCCTAGCACGTTTCACAGAGCATGTTTATCTCATCAGTCACAAAGAGCCCAGTACCCTTTTCCTACATGATCTTCTTTTCAATACAATTAAAATTTAAAAATACTTTCCCTTTTGCTTTCTGAAGCTTTGAAGAGCTGTTTTTCTTACCTTTGGAGAACGTATCAAAATAGATCTTATGCCTCCTGCTTTCAATGTAGCTTTGCAAATGAACAGGAATTTAATATGTGCCCATCTGTTCTCAACCATCAAAAAAATCTCAGAGTGAGTTAGGGATTTCTCAGACCTGCTGAGGTCTGGGCTGTGAGTTGTACTCCTCTGTGTGTTTGCAGTTGCTAAGCAATAATCCCAAAGGTTGCTAAGTGAGTCTCTTCCATGACTCCCAATTGCTGTAGGTTGTCTTTTGGCTTTGGCAGCCCAGCAGACTCTTCTGTACTGAACTTAGATGACTGCATCACATGACTGAAAATGAAATAAAATTTAAAAAGACTATGAATAGCAACAGACAACTTAAAGGCATAAATAGTCAGAGAGAGAATCCACAGATACCCAGTGACAGGAGGTTTACCTTCAGGTTCAAGGCTCACAAAGTCCAAAACCGTCCCAAGTCCATTACTGAGGAGTGGATTAACCAGATGTGAAAATCTGAGGGATAAAAAGAAATTAATTACAAACTCAATTTAAACATTTTCAGGCTCTCCTCTTTTTCTTTTTTTTTTCTTTTTTTTTTTTTTTTTTTTTAAAAAAACTTGGTTCTTTTAAACAGC